AGTGCTAACAGTGGAGCTATAAACAGTCAATCCACAGAATGAAAGATACAAATGATCAATAAACATGGAAAAAATAATAAATTTTATTAGAATTTGATAAAGTACAAAATAGAAAACATAATATATAATATGTAGGGAAATTTAAAATAATTCCAATATAATCATTTGTAGAATTATACACTGAAGTTAATAAGCTATACCATAATTACAAAATATAAGAACTAAGGCAGTCATTAAAGGCTAAGTTTCCTTCTAGCTTTACCATTCTTTAGACTTACCCTCATAGTCTCAAAATGGCTGCTCTGTCCCCTGACATTACATCTGTGTTCTAGGCATAGAGAAGGGAAGAATGGCAAGAGGGCCACAGTTCATGCCAGCTAAATCTGACTCTGCACATCAGTAAAACCATACCTTTCCCAGAAGCCTTACTCCCTAGAATTACACTTAAATCTTTCCGGGAAAAGTGACACAGTTTACTCCTAACTCTAAGGGATTTATGGAAGAGTGTGTTTTTAAAATGAGCATATTTCTGTGCCAAACTAAATTATGATTTTGTTAATAAGCAAGAAGTGGAGCATATATATTTCTTAGTCAACTAGAGGTGTTGTGTGAAGGAAACACCTAGAACAGTGCTTGGTACATTGTACATACTCCATAAACATTAGTTAGATAAAGGAATGGAAATTTTTATGTTACAATCTACCTAATCCCCAGAATGACAGGGAAGGGGGATCAAGATGAGAGCCAAGCACCATCTACAAAGGAGTGCAGGTTGAACAGAAGGCTCCCTGAGATCTAAAATGGATACAATTATGGAATGCTACTTGAGGTCATTGAAAATACTGAGAGCAGGTTTAGACAGAAAGTTTTAGGGTAGTCAGTGATCTATCTCTAGAATTGTGCTGTTCAACACCAGAGCCACCAGCCACATGTGGCTAAGTTTAAATTAAGTAAAAGTTATAACTCAGTTCTGCAGTCACAGTCACATTTTGAATGCACAATAGCCACTTGTAGCTAGTGGCTACCATACTGAATGGTGCTGGGATAGAATGTTCCCATCACTGCAGAAAGTTCTATTGAATGCTACTTGCTTAGAAGAATTAAAGCCAAGGGAAAACGGTGGGGGGCAAGGGTGGAGGGGAGAAATGTCAATTCCCAGAAAAACAAACTCTTGTGCAGGAAAAGAAAAAGAATCATAATATATGGTTATAAAGATGGAGCTCTTTTGTGAATGAACTTTGCTGATCATAATAATATAAACACTGACTTCTGAATTCCATAAGTAGAACTTTGGTGGGAGGCTGCAGGGCTGAGAGGAGGCTTGCGTCTGGTAAGAGTGGGCGTTCGTATGGAAGAGAGCTAAAACCTCACCTTCCAAGGTGGAAACCTAACAGATAATCCTCTGACCAAAAAAATCGGAAAAGAGCAATATAGACATTTTGTTAAATATGTACAGTAATATAAGAATAGATTCAGCTAGCGAAATAAGTCAGGCAGAGAAGGACAAATACCATATGTTTGCACGTATAGGAGGATTAGGAGGAACTTGACGGAGGAACAAGGGGGAGAAGAAGGGCGGAAATGGTGGGGGAAAGGGAGAGAGGCAAACCATGAGAGAC